TCATTCTTCATTTGTTAATTTCTTTTACTTTTACTTAACCGTGAGGAGTTTTAATTATAGAACCAGCTACTGGGGCCGATACAACTATAATCATTAGCATTTCTGACCAGCCTGAGGGTTTCATCCCTTCCTCATTGGAGGGAGCCGTGGCTACAGCTTAGCAGCCTAATTCTCAGTTTTAGGCTACCGTCCCTTAGGATCCGATGGTTATAAACATCGTGAGATCATCCAGAGGAGTCGATATGCCAATGATTGTTATGTCTACCATAACTCCGTTAATTCCTGAGGCGGGATTGACGGAGGCAAGCACAGAGTGTCTAACTAAAGGGACTTCTCCTGGCGCTGGTAAGTTCATAACTTGCTCTAAGTTTCCAGACGATATTTCAGAATTTCTTATCCCTTTGCAAAACTATTTGTAGGGACTTTCTCTAAGTTCATAACTTGTAAGATATATTCTGTAGTTTCGTTACCTTTGTGGGCAGAATGATTAAGAAGATCCTTCATCATGAATATTACTTTAATCAATTCAGGCGATCTCTCGCCCGTCATATGACGATGATTAGAGAGGAGAGATACTCAGAGTTAGCTGATTCCCTCGCTGTAGATTTCGTCGTATTGGAGTGTGAGATCCAAGAGTTGGGGGAGATGAAGGCAAAAGGCGCTTCTTCTTTTGTGGCTATTCACTTGGAGTCCGAGCTGAAGGAATGGCATGACACAAGAGTATCTATTAGGAGTGAACTTCAGTCACAGGAAGGCTCTGTTATGCAGATGATGACAATTCTCGTGAGGAAGGACAAGGCTAAGGATGAATTACTTAGTTCTATAGCCTCGGTCGATGAGGAGATAGCTAATCTTGAAAAGGCTTTGAAGTACGCTAGAGATACTTGTGTCGTTCTTGAAGATGAACTAGCAAACACCGAAAACTATTGAAGACAGACACTTGAGAAGCTAGAGCCTGCACAAAAGAACCTAGCCAGGTTAAGAAGCGAAGCTACAAGGATATTAGGCACTTCTGAAGATTCCATCCGAGCTGATCTACAGGCTAAGCTTGAGCAGACTTATGCAGATAAGCTCTCTAGGTTGGAACTTCAGATTTTCAGTCGTAGACTGCATTCGGATTGATAGCCTTTGCTCTTGTATCTTCATTTTGATTAGACTTTATTAATAAAAACAAAGTCTTTTACTTAGCATATTTCTCTTTTTATTATGATTTTCATCTCATCTAGGCCAAATAATAGCAATACTTGTAGGATTTTTTGCAAACCCTCAGTCGTCGACGGATCTGGTGTGCCTTTAATGATTACCGTTTGAATTGAGCTCGCATGCAGATTGTCTAAGTATGTTCCGCATATAACGTTGTGCTAAAGGAATGAATTCTTTTGGACTTATTTCTATAATTTTGAATACATAGACTTAATCATCCCTCGCGGGATGCTCATAGTATTTTTGGCAAACCCTCAGCGCTCAACGGATTTGACGCACCTTTATCGATTACCGTTTGAATCGGGCTAGCATGTGAATTGTTAAAATACTTTTCACATATAACGTTGCGCTAAGAGAATAAACTCTCTTAGACTTGATGCTATATTTTTGAGTACATAGACTTTATCATTTTCATGGGAACGGATCACCCGATAACACGTGTTAGGTATAGACTTATTTCTATTTAGGGATTAAGATAAATTCCCCTAGACATGAATTTTGGTGTCCTTTTCACAGAGAAAGGTCAACTGGCAATGTGTGTTAGGCGTAAACTTATCTCTATTTAGGGATCGAGATAAAATTCCTCGTACGTGTAAGTCATGGATTTTGGTGTTATTAATAATAGTCTGCCTTGATGTTGAATACATGAGCTTTTGTCCTTTTCACGGTAAAAGACTAACCGGTAACATGTGTTCGGTGTAGGCTTATCTTTACTCAGGGTTCGAGATAAAATACCTCAGAATAAATTCTAGTGTTCTTTTCATAGAGAAAGGTTAACCGGCAATGCGTGTTAGACGTTGACTTATCTCTACTTACGATTCGAGAAAAAAATTCCTCGTATGTGTAAGGCACAAATTTTAGCATTATTAATAATGGCCTGCCATGATGTTGAATACGTGGGCTTTTGTCCTTTTCACGATAAAAGACTAACCGACAACGTGCGTTAGGTATAGGCTTATCTCTGTTTAGGAGTTGAGATAAAGTTCCCCATGCAGGAGAAGCATGGATTTGTGATGTTGAGAGATTGTGTCTTCTCTTGGGGCGAAGACAAACCCGATGCTGGAGAGGAAAAATTTTATATTCTATCTCCAGTCTTCTTTTGAAGTAAAGACGAACCCAATGCTGGAGAGGAAGAATGTTATATTCTATCTCCAGGTCTTCTTTTGGGGTAAAGACGAACCCGATGCTGGAGAACAAGAATTTTGTGTCCTATCTACTGATCTGAAGGCAAATTTCTCGTTTATCAAGATTATGCTAGAGAGAAAGAATTTTATATTCTATCTCCTGCTACAAAAGAAACTCAAAGTGCAATCTCCACTTCGAGAATCCGGAAAGGTGAAACTAAGAGTGGGATCTCCACTCCGAGAATTGAAAAGATCTGGATAACCCTAACTTTTATAGGATTGGTTACTCGATCTGAAGACAAATTTATCATTTATCGAGATGAAATTCCAACTTTTGTGTAAACCATGAGAAGGTTTAACCAAGTAGGGGCTTGAGACAATCCTAACTTTTATAGGTTTGATCGTTCAATTTATGTGGATGCCTTTCGTTCATCGAAAGGGAATTCTGAAAGTGGACCTCTCGTTCATTGAAGGAATCAAAATGGGATTTTAGGTTTGGTCCTAAATGTAGGATGGTTTGACCAAGAAACATAGTGAGCGGAAATACAAATAACAGTGGGAATGTTAATTTGTACAAATCACTTAGTGGGGGTTTTCGATGTCAAGTGGCTAGGACTTACCACGCGTCATGGATCAGCCGATTGAAATTTCAAGTGCTATGTCAGGACTTTAATAGTGGGAGTGTTAAGTACACAGACACGGTAGGAGTTTGGATGGACTCAGCCGAAAGAATTTTGGTAGAACCACTGTCAGTTAACTTAATCAGTGAGGGACTTTGCGGTGGAGGACCATGAATCAAGCACTCCACAGATGCATCATGGGAGTTTTGTGAGGAAAGATTGGCCGAATGAGGTCACTGAATCTTATCTCAATGAAAGAAGGCTCGGAAAGTCACAGTGGGAGGGTTTTAATCATTTTGGAAATGATTAAATAGCCACAGTAGAAAGTTCTTAATTATTTTATCATGATTAAGAATGAATTATTCGAATGATTGTATCCATCCAGGATAATCAGTCGATCTTGGGTTATCCTTAAAAATATCATGGATAGCATTCTCCAGGAACTTCCTATTACATAGGATATCCCAAACGTACGTACTGGGGATAATACTTCTTCAGGAACTTCCCATTTATTGGCGTCATAAGTTTGTCACCGTTTTGAATGACCAAGTGATATGTACCATTTGAATAGACTGTCTCTATCATAAACGGTCCTTTCCATTTGATTTGGAATTTGCCTTTCTTCTTGGAATTGAGTATCATTGGTCGCCGGATGGTAAGGACCAAGTCTCCTTCCTTAAAGCTTCCGTTCAATATCAAATAATCCTCCTCTGTTGGACCCTGGAGGGGGGGTGATTAGGGTCAAGAGGCTCTAATATGCAATTTAAAACTCAGCACAAGCAAACCACAAAACAAAAGTGCAATCAAATAGAAAGAGATAGAGTTAGGAATCGTTATCCTTGACGCGCGATGTGTTAACGAGGTTCGGCCCGCTGACCTACGTCCCCGCTCCCCACTCTCGAGGAGAAATCCACTAACACATCCGGTTTGGAAGCCGGAACTTCGTCTACACAGCGATCCCACAAGATCTCTCTCTCACTACACAGTTTGATCTCACAGATCACACTCCCTCACAGTAGATCTCCACAGATCTCAACCACACAGCAGCAGAAGAAAAAACAAGAAAGAACCTCTCTTTACACAAGCCCCTATAGAAAAGAGAAGAGTACTGAAGCTGGGAAGTGAAACACACTTGAAACAGAGAGAAAAACAGAGTTTTGAAAATTTTCTCAGGAAACAGAAAAAGCTCTCTGGTTTTCAAACGTTAGGGCTTAGAGGAAGAAGAAGAGGTCTGGGGATTTTATAGGAAAGTTTAAATCATTTTAAAACAAAAACAAATCTACCCAAATGAGATAATAATCTCTTCTTCAGACCCTCATCACAGACTGTGCCAATCACTAATAAGTGAAAGCACAGGGTTCGAGGCAAACGACCGTTTTAAAAAAGTCGTGGCTGAACAGAGGAAAAAATCGGTTGACCGAAGAAAATATCGGTCGACCGAAAAATACCTTCGGTCGACCGACCGAAAAAATCGGTCGACCGCCAGCAGCTAAGGAGTTTTGACAAAACATCCAGAGACTCATCGGTCGACCGACACGGTCGACCGATTAAGGGTTGAGAAATTCGGTCGACCGTATCGGTCGACCGACGACATTCTGGAGACATAGTAAAGAAAGGTCATCGGATCGGTCGACCGGACCGGTCGACCGATTTCTGACATATTCTGAAATCAGGTTATTTGACCAACTTGAAATATTTGCAAAATATTTATTTGACCTCTGAAAATTCTGAAACTTTGTAAAATGTTTTTAATACTAAAAACAAACTGCTTGGAAAAAGAATTTTGCAGATAGGTACTCAAACTTGTGAAAAATAGTATTTTGTTCAAAAGTAAAGGACACAAATTAGAAAACACAACTAAGAAGAATTTCATATTTTTCATAAGTTTAGAAATTAGTTTACCCCCTCAAATGTGCTCCAATTCCTTTCACAACCAGAAGAGCTGCTTGTCAAGTTGAGAAGTTTCATAACCATATTTTGCATGAAGGGACAATCACCACCATGCAAATACCACTAATTAGCTACAAAAAATAATATATTATTAGTTGATTCACTACCACAATGGCACAATAGATAACTTATAAGTCATATATGATTCAATTTCTAAAATTATTTTACCTGGGTTCAAGTCTGATTTCTCTCTAGCCTTCACCGCTCCAATCCTAGCAAATGAACCATTTCCTTCTCTGTATCTCTCCAACTCTTGAGTATGAATTTTAACTTGTTGCTCTACATCAGGATAGAACAACTCCATCACATCTAGAAATCCATCTTTCGCCCTTTTGCAATTCTTCACTACATCATCCCTATAGAAATAGTAAGGGTTGAGATAGTAAGAAGCCATATGCAAGGGAGAAAAGAGCCGATCCTTGGACTTCCCATCTATAATATCAATCACGGGCTTGAAATCCTTCTCCTTATTCTTGAAAACTTGAATGATCTCCTTCTTCATATCTTCAAGCATCCCCACCACAAATCCCATTGAGGGTTTGTTGTCACTATCGACTGTCCTCAACAATCGAAAAATAGGAGCATACACCTTCAGATTCTTGGCCACCGTTGTCCACCAACTATCACTCATAGCAATCGCCTCCACCTTAGCGCCTTTAGCGGTCTTTGCAAGCTTGCATCTCACCCATGCTTCATCGGAAAACATAAATCTCAACTTCCCTTTCTTCTCAAGAAGACTCCGCAGAGTCAAAAATTTAGTGGCGAAACGAGTACCTCCGGGTCTCACAATGTTCCTTTTGTCACAAATGCGACGCATCATAGACAAAGTCTTGTGATGACTATAGATAAAGATGGTGATGGTCCTCGCCTTCTCAATTGCTCCTTTGAATAAACTCAACTTCCCGTTGCTTTCAAGCATCAGGTCAACAGTGTGTGCTGCACAACTAGTCAAAAAAATCCTCGGCCTCCTATATAAAAGCTCCTTCGCGGCCATATTTACAGCTGCATTATCCGTGACAACCTGAATGACTTTATCAGCTCCAATCTGCTCAATAGCCGTATTAACCCACTCAAATATATATTATCCTGTATGTGCTTCCTCTTTGGTTTCAATTGACTTATGAAAAGTTATCCCCAATCTGCAGTGGATGCAAAGATTCATTACCGACCGCATCTTTCTGTCCGACCAAGCATCAGTCATAATGGAACATCCAGTCTTGCCCCACTCCTCATGCGTCTTTAAGGAGATTTTTGTTCTCTCAACAGCTCTTCGCAATAAGGGCTCCCTCAACATGTACATGCTGGGAGGCCTGTAGCTCGGTCCATAGTCTCCAATAGCCATGCATGCCTTCGTAAAAGAATCCGTGGAGATGGCATGAAAGGGGATGACATTTTCATATGCCCAAGTAGCCAACTGATCATGCACCCAATCTCTCTTCTCCTTCAGGAAAGAATCATTCACTCCTGTCTGCTTCATTTTCCCTTTCAACCTTTTCGCTAGCTTTGGATCATTAGCGGTGTAAGCATCCATCGGCCTAACAGTAGGCTCTCTAGACCTCTTTGAAGACCCATCGCCTATGGAAGGAGAGATGATTTCTTCTTCATCTCATCGCCTATGGAAGGAGAGATGATTTCTTCTTCATCTTTTTCTTCATCACACGGCCTCGTCGTATGAAGTTCTTCTTCTAAGTCTATAGTGTGCCTTTTTCTTCATCACACGGCCTCGTCGTATGAAGTTCTTCTTCTAAGTCTATAGTGTGCCTCTCCTTAATTTGCTTCTTCTTCGAATTAGCATCAATGACTTCTTTCATCATCTGCTTATCTTTTTCACTAATCTTCAAACATGGTTTGGTGTCCCCCCCTCAACCCTGCAAGATGCTTCTTAAATCGATGGCTCCCCGCATTCACCTTGTGCCCACATAGTTTGCATTGCACCATATTCAAATTTTTTGGGTCCGGACAAAATCCAAACTCCCAACCAATGTCTCCTGAGTTCCTTCTATCTTTCACGGGAGGTACAGGGATATTGGTGGAACCCGTAGACTCCTTCGCTGGAACACCCGACATTCTGAAATAAATGAACAAACAAATCATTCATATACTTAAAATTAAACTTAAACAATCAAACAGTTAAACTTAAAATTAAACTTAAACAATTAAACTTAAATAATAAATACAGTTAAACATATTCAATTTGTAATTCTTAAAACAGAATCTCAAAACAAGAAATATATAAACTCTCACATGTGTAATTTCCCTTACTGTTAACTTATTTTTGTAGGTCAAAAACTGCATTTTCATTCGTTATTGTTGCAACTTCAAAAACCGTAACTAATTATTGTTCTATTTTATAGGTCAAAAACTGCAACTTCATTCGTTATTTGCTGCAAATCCAAAAGTAGGGAGCATGAATATTATAGTTTCAGCACTCAACTCAATACAAATACACAATTATAGCATATACAGTTGTAAGTTTTGAACAAATGCAGAGAATGAACATGACAAAGACAAATGTAAGGAGCATAAGTGAAGGAAATCGTGCTATGTCTACATGCATAATACATAGCGGAAGACATGTATGTACAAAAATACTAAGCATGTAGAGAGCATGAAATATTTATATGGATCATCTAATTAAATCTAACATGATCCTTATTATTAAGTGAGCATACAAGAGTTAGAAAGTCATACTTTCGTAGCGTGATTCGATGGAAGATCGAATAACCCCTAGCTCTTGCTCCTTGTAGTAGAAAATCTCCTTGTAGTGGATCTCCAAGTCTTCAAGTGAGCTTGATAAAATGGGAGTCTTCTTAAGACACAAGGCAAGATATCCACCCCGGGGTTCTTAAAATCCTACTACTTCCTCTTGCTCAAAGATTGCTAAAGATTAGTAAGAGGAGAGCTCTCTTTTATTCTCTTATGGAAAAAAAACACTTAGCCAATTTTTTATTAACCTTTCCATAAGAAAAAGAGCTTATATTTATAGAGTGAAATGTGTTCATGATATGAATGACTCATCCTATGAGTCATGCAATGAATCATCAAAAATTAATGATTAATCAAGTGAGTCATGCAATGAATCATCTTATGAATCATTACATTTCAAAACCATGTGCTAATAAACCATGTGCTCCAACCATACCACTAAGTGACTCATCTCATGACTCATTATACATGGTATGTGTATTTCATAAATGAGAATACCAAATTATTATCACTAATACAGTATTTCATAAATACGGTATATAGTATTATTCCAATCTTTAACTAATTAGTCACTATATGACCAAATAAATCAAGAGTTGACCAAAAGTCAACTGTTGACCAAAAAGTCAACTAGTTGACTAAAAGTTAACTTTATGGGAAAAATACTGGAATTCATTTCCTAAGCACATAGCATTCCGATTTTACCGATATACATAACCGTTTATGTGTATCCGGAAGAAATCATATATGCGTATCAATCATACGCATCACTCCATAAATTGTGTTTCATAGGATTCAAGTACGCGCTTGGTGTGACTCTAGGGCCCAACTTAAAAAACTCGGTAGTGGATCATATCCATAAGTACAACAGAGGTGCTAGCTACACATGAAGACCACCCGGGTATAAGTTGTGATAAAGGTCTGCAAGATGCTTATCCAATTTTATCAGGACCACTCAATGATAATACCGTACAGTCCGGTCTCTTCGTCAAACCATGTCAAACTATTGAGCCTAGGGTATGGCAAACTGTCAAACCCTAATAGCTTGATTAGTGTTTATTGATATTAAACTCATAACCTATAAGATCAAACTGACACTCAGTTTATCTTATTCACCTTGGCCAAGGATTTCCAGGCTATAGTTATATCAAACAATCTTATGACATCAACCCCTATACTGGGAGAGACGAATCCCTTCTTGGCATCTCAATATCTACTTATGTCTCGGGATGTACCCAACAAGAACCGTTATGCACAATTCAATAAGAACTGTGGTTAGGTAAAAGTCTAAATACATCTTTACTGACATATAAGATATTGCACTCATGCCTCAGGTCAAGAGACTACTATGTACTATATCACTTGAGAACTTCTATTTGACAGTTAAGTATATTACCAACTAGATGTTCTCGGCGAGTCGTTCAGTCAACTCATTCACTAATGAGTCACCTGTATACTGTATCTTGATGTCTCACATCAATGATCTAAGAGATTGATCATCTCCTTCAAAAGGAGAAATAAAGCATACACTAGTCTAAACCAAAGTGATGATGTCCTATCTCAACACTTCATCAACTAGGAACATTTTAGAATATACGTTACCGACTAATCAGATCTCTTCATTACGATCACTATCCGAAATGTCTGATAGTCTAGTATTTATTCTAAGGACATTATCTGTATATTTAGAACATCAGATAAATCTGACCAAAATAGCATACTATCATTTTGAACAAGGATGTTATATACATATAGGTCCTGTTACAATATACAATAATTGCCTGCAGGGCACCTATATCTAACAAACTCCCACTTGCACTAAGGCCAATTATAGTATCTAATACCCAATAGCTCAACAAGTTTCTCAAATTGTGAACGAGCAATTGCCTTTGTGAATGGATCTGCTATATTATCTTTTGTGTCTACTCTTTCAATCTTGATCTCCCGGCGATCAACTATCTCCCTGATCAAGTGATACTTCCTCAGAATGTGTCTGGACTTATGGTGAGATCGGGGTTCCTTTGTCAGAGCTATTGCAGCATTATTATCACAGTATAAAGGTACTGGATCTTTAATGGTGGGAACAACTTCCAGCTCTAAAAGGAACTTCCTCATCCAGACAGCTTCTTTAGCTGCATCATTAGCTGCAATGTATTCAGCTTCCATAGTCGAGTCTGCTACTGTATCCTGCTTGGAACTTTTCCAGCTGACAGCTCCTCTATTGAGGGTGAAAACATATCCTGATACAGACTTACTATCATCGATATCGCTCTGAAAGCTTGAGTCGGAAAAAGCCTCCATTCGGAGGTCACTTTTACCGTATATCAAAAATAACTCTTTAGTCCTTTTAAGGTACTTAAGTATATTCTTGACCGCTTTCCAGTGCTCTTCTCCATGATCAGATTGGTATCTACTTACCAAACTGAGTGAATAAGCGATATCTGGTCTAGTACATAACATGGCATACATGATCGATCCTACTGCCGAGGCATAAGGAATTAGACTCATGCGTTTCCTCTCTTCATCAGTCCGGGGAGACATCTTTTTAGAGAGGGAGATTCCAGGAGATGCAGGTACAAAACCTTTCTTGGAATTTTCCATGCTAAACCGTTTTAGCACTTTGCCAATGTATCTAGATTGCGATAATCCTAACATCCTTTTAGATCTATCTCTATAGATCTGAATACCCAGTATACAGGATGCTTCACCTAAATCTTTCATGGAAAATCTTTTTGATAGCCAAATTTTAACCGCTTGTAATGACGGTATGTCATTACCGATTAAGAGTATATCGTCTACATATAAAATAAGAAACGATATAATACTCCCAATTATCCTTTTATACACACATGGTTCATCTGGATTTTTGATGAAACCAAACTCTTTGATAGCATCATCAAAACAGATGTTCCATCTCCGTGATGCTTGCTTCAGTCCATAAATAGATTTAAGCAATCTACATGCTTTTCCACTGCTCCCACTAACTACAAAACCCTCTGGTTGCGTCATATATATGCACTCTTCTAAATCACCATTTAGAAATGCAGTTTTAACGTCCATTTGCCAGATCTCATAGTCATAGTGAGCAGCTATAGCAAGTAGGATCCGAATAGACTTGAGCATAGCCACTGGAGAAAAAGTTTCATCGTAGTCCAAACCAGGTCTTTGACGAAAACCTTTAGCTACCAGTCTAGCTAACATCCAGAGACTCATCGGTCGACCGGCACGGTCGACCGATTAAGGGTTGAGAAATTCGGTCGACCGTATCGGTCGACCGACGACACTCTGGAGACATAGAGAAGAAAGGTCATCGGATCCGCCGACCGGACCGGTCGACCGATTTCTGACATATTCTGAAATCAGGTTATTTGACCAAGTTGAAATATTTCCAAAATATTCATTTGACCTCTGAAAATTCTGAAACTTTGTAAAATGTTTTTAATACTAAAAACAAACTGCTTGGAAAAAGAATTTTGCAGATAGGTACTCAAACTTGTGAAAAATAGTATTTTGTGAAAAACGCTTAAAAGCACAAGTTTAAAAACGTGTGTGTGATTCCCAATAGCTTCAAGTAAACTCAGTAACTATTTGCCTACATTCTAGCACTAGAGAGAAAAACCAAAGAAAGCTAATATCCTCATATAGAGAGCAATATACTTGAGCTTTGATATAGCTTGAATCGGATGAAGCTTTTAATCGAATTTGACGTTCTTGAAATAACGTTGCTTCATCTCTTGGCCTCCTCCTCCTTTGGATATCTTCGTTGTAGCATATATTCCATCCATCCTCCATTAATGGCACTAACGAGCTTGACAAATGATTTTACTACATTTACACTCAATAAGCCATTAGTACCGATAATGGTGGTTGTAAGAACATCATCAAAACATAAGGGCTAACATCCTCGACTTGGATAATTATGTTTTTTGCCTTCTCCTTATCTCAACCTGCATGCAGGAACCTATAAAAAAATTTTGACGCCTATAAATAGTCAATTCATTTTCGGAATCAAAATCGCTTACCACACTAGGGCTATCGCCTAGTGGCGGTGTGCACGATTAGGCTCCATATGAACTTGAAGAGGAAGCCGCTAAAGATCGCCTAGTGGCGGTGTGCACGATTAGGCTCCATATGAACTTGAAGAGGAAGCCGCTAAAGCTTGTCGGATCGCCTCCATGTTCCCTTGATGTATTTCTGTAAGTTTTCAAAATGTGTAAGCACTATCAAATGAATCAAGCTTGTTAGAAAATGATGAATCAAAAATCATTATGCAAAAATTCTAACAAAAGCTTATTCATTCTAAACATTCTTTTATCTTTATCACTTCACTTGTATTTCTCCATAGTGGGTACAATGTAAGCATCGTCAATAATTTCCCATAAATCGAAATGTCTAGATCTAACAAATAATTTAAATCTAACACATCATTGAGAATAAGAAAAAGTATCTAATTTTGGAGCAACATTAATGGCATAACCTAGACTAGGTGCACCATGAATATCCATAATATATTATATAAGCAATATGAAATTAATCTCAAAACTAAATTAGCAAAAAATATAAAAGCTTGGATCTTTAACTCAAGGCGTTTAAGCCACAAATCAAAAAAACACCAAGCTCTGATACCAAATGAAATTACTCTGATTCCAAATAAAATTACCCTATAGGGGGGGTGAATAGGGTAATATGCTAATCTAATCTGATTTAATACCAATTAAAAACTTATTAACAAATATTCTAGCAAGTATGATATTCAACAACTTATATGTGCAAGGATATGTAATTAACACAAGGGTGAAATAGACATGAAATAATATAAA